CAGAAAACAAGTAGTGCATTTATTTTCAGTACATGCTATACAATTACCGTATTTTTAAATACATGTAACACATTTTTTAGTTTTATCTTCCATAATGAAACCTTAATTACATTATAAGCATTCTCGAGATTAATTACATTATTTACATCCTGACGGGCATTTTATTACTGTGTTACCATTAATTACAGTATTTCCTTTATTTCCATCTGTAGCAGAGATTTGTTAGCATTTTTATTTTTAAAGGTTATTACATTATAAACAGATGAGATCATCACAATTTTTGCAATTATTATATTTAGAAAGACATTAAGTACAAGCTTTAGTTATTAAATCAATATAGTAACCATCTTAACATTTTTTGCAACCATTTTCATCGCAATTTTAACATTTTTGAGGACATTATTAGCATTTTCCAATACTTTCAGAATAAAAACTAGCACCAGGGCATAAATTTACGCAACTACTATCATGATTTTTAAATTTAAGTCCTTCGCAAACAAGACACTCAGATAGATTATTAGGATTACATTATGAGCAATTTTCCTTGCACAACGTACATTATTTATCTGATCCTAATCTATATCGTTTAGCAGTATCACATGTAATACAAGTATTAGAATCTTTTTATTAAAGACATCCAACTAAAGGTTTTACACATTATTAAGAATCTTAAGTTAACTTAGATCCCATAGCACATGTATTTTAGCACGAATTATCAGCTTATTTTAAATGTCCTTATTTGCAAGTGATACATAAAGGAGAATTTATTTTCTCGCAAGTTTTGCAATTTCCTTAACATATTGTGGATATCTAAGACTCGCATATACCCTAAGCTTAATTAAGTTTATATCCTTGTTTCTCATTACATTTATCTACACATTAATTATCTTGCAATAATGTCAAAAATTAACACTTACTACACTGATTAGGTAATGGTCCTGTACATCTAGAGCAACTGCTATGGCATGGTTCGCAATTACCATTCTTTCCATATAGGCCTTAAGGACAATCTGATTTGCAAGTATTATCTGGGTTCTTGAATTTACCTGAAGGACAAGTGCCTTATTATATACACTTTCCATCATTGACTACTCCGGAGCATTTTATAATACAATTTTCTCCTCCATATCCGGGTTGGCATATGCATTGTCCGTTTACACAGACTCCTTTTTAAGAACAAAAATTTGGACATATGCGGGAACTATTACAAAATCTATTATAATCAGAAGGACATGTGATTTTACCTTTAGCTTTTTTGCCACTACTATCAATAGTCTTTTTTTTACCTTAATCCCCTATTCCACATAAAACTTGCAATTAAATATCAGGGAAAATAACAGATATTTCAGATGCATCAGAAGAACATTTGAATCTATGACATCTAACAGGAATATCATATATATACTCAGATGAGGCTTAAACAGCTGTAGATTAGAAGCATTTACTTTGAGTTGAATAATCAGATAATTTATCCTCTTCCATATCTAAATCTTCTTCATCATCTATAGCATTAGGATTTGTACAAAGATCTTCCATTTCTGGATATACTATTTAACAATGGTCTAAGTCTTGATTATTTCTGACATCACCAAATCCTTCATACTCAAATGAACATTAGAAATCATTTGATTTTATAGGAAATTCAGGGAATTAATTATTAGTAGTAATGCAAGCCTTTTCAAAGAAATCGCAACCTTTACCCTTGCCCCAAAAAATCTAACCGGCCATATTCTCATTTACTTCAGAATAAAAACCTGTGTCTTTTAAAAGAGCAATTGTAAATATAGAAAGAGTAATTTTAACATTTAAATCAGATCCAGTCATTAATTCGTTAAAAATAAATGTTCTTTTCCAATGAGAATCAATTGTACTTTCACCGCCCTTATTCAAACAATAATATATAAATATTATAATAGTATTTTTATAATTATATTAATATATTTATATATTTATTTATATATTTTTTACTGTATTTTCAAGATACATTCCTTCTGCTTTATTACAATTATAATAATTTCTAGTAACTTCAACCACATTTTATGAAGTTAAAATAGTAATTTTTTTTCCTTAGTACACTTTTTATTTTAATAATTTATTTTCATAGCTATCTTTATATGGTTTTTTTGTCATAGGATCTAACCAATAGTACATCATGTTTTTTGAAAAACCAAGTATATGCATTATTTCATGAATAGTTGTTTCTAAATCATTCTGGAAAGATTTTAGTTCTCCATCATCTTTATTCATACTTTTAATGTTAAAATTAACTCTTCCAAACGTCGGTCTTTAGATTCCTTCATTAGATATAGCACACAAAACGGCATCTGCAAGTTCCCCTATATATTCATTATCATAAATTATGTATAAGTGTAAATCCGAATTAGCAATTCCAATTTTTTTATCATTTTCAGGAATATCAAATTCTATACAATCATTTGGCCAATCTGCCGGATAAATGTTATTTTTTTTAATTGGTTATACTTTCAAAAGTCTTTACAAAAATAGCTTTGATGTTTCCATAATTTCTTTTAAGTATTATTTTTATTATCGGGTTATTTTCTAATCCATTTTATCTAACATAGAATAATCTATAGTTATTCTAATAGGCATTGCCTCTCCTTCTTTTTAAAGAATACGTTAATCATGGTTTGAATATTAGATCTTTTCATAATTTTCTTACATTTTATTATAGTGATCTTATATTTTCTTACTTTAATGATCACAGTTGTGGCGAGAACTTGCTAATGTAACTATAATTACTAAACTAATTAAAATTAATTTTTGAAGCATATTTTTATTAATTTCTATTTTATTTTTATTATATACATATATATTAATTATTGTTTTAACTAATTATTTATAATAAAATAGCATTGCTTTTTTATGGTATTATTATAATATATTTTTAATTTAAAATAATAGACCGACCATAATTATTTATTTTTTTTAATTTAAAAATAATAATATATATAAAATTTAATAATTAGAAATTAATTACTGTATTAATTTTGTAAATATAAAAATCATTTATAAAAAAAAGTTATAATCGTAATATAATATATGTTTTTATAATTATATTATTATTATTTTTTATAAAATTAATTATTTTTTTTTGATAGAGAGATATATATAAATATTATTATAATGCTTTTAATTTTAAAGATTAAAAAAAATAAATATTTATCTATATCAAATATTATAGCCATTATATTTTTTTAATTAATTTTTTTTTATAAAACAAAATAAAAAAAAATCATTATAAATTTAATTTATTTATATTTATATATAATAAATATTATATTTAACATAAATTTAATATATCTATAGAAAATTATTATTTATAAAAAAATTTAGGCATTATTTAAATAAATAAATATTATATATTTTTATTAAATATAAATAAATATAAATTAATTTAAAAATTATTATATTTCGATACATTTTTTTTTTAATTTAAAAATAAAAAAATTATTTATTTATTATAAAATATCATAAATATTTTTTAATTTTTAATATAATTTATTTAAAATAAAGGTGAGTAAAAAATTTTTATATATTTTATGATGATATAAAATACCTATTTATAATTTATTATAAAAATTAAAAATTATATAGGTATGCAATAATATTTTTACTTATATATATAAATCAAAATAAAAAAAATAACAAATAATTAATTACAAAAAAATATAATGATATTAAATATAATATTCTTTATTTAAATAAATAATAAAATAAAAGTAAAAAATAAAAAATAAATTATATAATATATATTATATGATGAAATATAATAAAATTATATAAATAAATAAAATAAAATATATAATTATAATATTATAGAAAATTATTTATCATTTTTAATTGTTATAGAAATATTAAGTTTAAAATAATTTAACTATTTTTAATAAATATGGTAAGGATATAACTGTTTTTAATGATAAAAAATAAGAAAAAATTTATTATAAAGATTTTTACTTTTAAATAGTAATAATGATAAAGCCATTCAAGTTTAAAATTATAAAGTTATTTAAAGAAACAAAACATATAAAAGATTTTAACATCAAAAATTTGAAAATGTAATTGTAGACTAATCATTTTTATCCTCGATAAGTTAATAAAAATAAAATGATAATTTAAATATTACATTTTAAAAGAAAAAAGAAAGAAATTTTAAAAGATCTAAAATTTTAAATTAATTTTTTTTTATTTTAGATTATATAATTTTTATAAAATTTGAATTCTGTGTTAAAAATATAGATTGTAGATTGTACATTGTACATTTTATTTTATATTTTTAAAATTATAAAATATTTAAATTAATATATTAAAACATCATTTTTAACTCACTAAAAAATTTTTAATTTAGAATAATAATTTAAGTTATACCATATATATATTTTTTTTAAATTATTATATATTGAAATTAATATTCAATTAATACTTTATATTTGTAAAAAAATAAATAAAAAATTATAAGAAATAACTTAAAAATATAATAAATTAAATACCAAATAAAAAAATATTTAATAATAATTATTATAAAATAAACTTTAGTTACTTTGTTTTAAAAATCATAGCAATAATAATCCAAATATAACATAACCTATAAAAAAATAAGGACTCCTTAATAATTATTTTATTATTAATCATCGCCTTAAACTTGAAGTAATAATTTAGAACACTGGATTTTAGGTTATTGTTTTGATTACTTTTATTATATTTATACCCAGAAAAACAAATAATGCTTTTTTTTCTATACATAATATACAATTACCATATATTAAATACATGTAACACATATTTTTAGTTTATTCATCTATAATGAAGCCTTAATTACATTAGAAGCATTACCCAGATTAATTACATAAAAACCCTTTTTACAAGTAAGTTTGTCAATTTCCTTAAAACATTTTGGATAACCTAAGATTTGCATATACGCAAATCATAATTAGTTTATATCCTTGTTTCTCATCACATTATTCAACATACTAGTTATCTTTCAATAATGTCAAAAACTAACATTAAATACACTGATTAGGTAATAGTCCTGTACATCTAGAGCAACTGCTATGGCAGGGTTCGCAATTACCATTCTTTCCATATAGGCCTTAAGGACAATCTGATTTGCAAGTATTATCTGGGTTCTTGAATTTACCTGAAGGACAAGAGCCTTATATATATCCATCATTGACTACTCCGGAGCATTTTGTAATACAATTTTCCCCTCCATATCCGGGTTGGCATATACATTGTCCGTTTACACAGACTCCTTTTTAGGAACAGAAATTCGGACATGTACGGGAATTATTACAGAATCTATTATAATCTAAAGGACATGTGATTTTACCTTTAGCTTTTTTGCCACTATTATCAATAATCTTTTATTAACCTTAATCCCCTATTCCACATAAAACTTACAATTAAATATCTGGGAAAATTACAGATATTTCAGATGCATCAGAGGAACATTTAAATTTATGACATCTTACAGAAATATCATATTCATACTTAGATGAGGCTTAAACAGCTGTAGATTAGAAGCATTTACTTTGAGTTGAATAATCAGATAATTTATCCTCTTCCATTTCTAAATCTTCTTCATCATCTATAGCATTAGGATTTGTACATAGATCTTCTATTTCAGGTTATAAAATCTTGAATTTTTCTGCGTATATATTAGTTTCAGCAAGACCATTCAAATGAGTATAAAAGATTAACTAAATTTTAAGATAATTCTGGAAATTAAGTTTAACTTAAACAAAATCTTTTTAAGAAATCGCATCCTTATCCTATCTCCCCTCAAAATATATAAACGGTCATATTATTATTTACTTCAGCGTAAAAAATTATTTCTTTTAAAAAAGCAATCGTAAATATAGAAAAAGTAGTTTTAATAATTAATGAAGATTCTGTAATTAATTCAATTCATTAATAAGAACAGATCTTTAGCAATAAGCACCAATTGAAAATATACCTGAATTCAATATTCACCTAATAAGTAAAAATAAAAGTAATTGTATATGATAATTAAGCAACTAAAATAATAATTATAACCCTAAAAACAGTATATACAAAAAATAATTTAGAGCAGAAAATTTATATAATATTAATTTTTTAATTGAAATATATTTTTTATTGATTATATTTTTTTTAAATAAGATTAAGAAAATTATATTTTGGATAGTTAGAAAATATACAATTAATATAAAAATTTGAGTTTTGATGCAAATTTTAATATCTATTTTATTTTTATAGTTAGACGTTTATTATAAATTTAGAAATAAATATGTTATTTGGAAGTTTTTTATATATGTTTATTAAAAAATGCTTTAAAATTTTATTTTAAAAAATAAAAATAATTCTTAATTTAATAATTTTTAAAAAAAATTCATAAATTTTTGTTTGCTTATGGGCAAATATAGGCAGATAAAATATATTTTTTACTAAATATAACAAATTTTTATAACAAAAAAAAATATTCAAGAATAAATATAGTTTCTAAAAGGATTATTAAAATGAATAAACAGAATTCTAGAATATTATAAAAAATATTAAAATTACAAAGAAATATAAAAAAATACAAAAATATAGTTTATATAAATCCAAAAATTTATAAAATATTAAATAAATATTGGAAAATTATATATTTATATTTATATATATAAATAAATAAAAAATATAAAAAAAATAAAATATATAAAAAATATATATATTTAATTTTATTATTTTTAATATTAAATTAAAAAGATATATAATTAAATAACAATATAAAATAATTTTTAATTTTTAAATATATATATATATATATATAAAAAAAAAATATAAATATATATATATATATATATATTTATATATATATAAATTAGTTTTTATAATAAAAAATATATATACTCAATTATTTTTCTTTTTTGTAATATTTATGATAATTTTTAATTTAATACTAATAAAATTTTAATGAATTAAAAACAAAATATTAAGCAAATTATTTTGTAAAAATATTATTATATTTAAAATATCAAATTTATTTTATATAATTTTTAAATATATTATTTTCTCATAGATATTTTTTTATATATAATTTTAATAATTTTTTATAAATTATTAAAAATAAAATTAATCTTTCTTATAATAATAAAAAAATATATTTAATTAAATAAATATAAGGGTTAAAATTAAAAATATACTAAAAAAAAAAATTATTTAATTGTTTTAAATAGCTATTGTATTTATATTTTATATTAATTTTTTGTTTCAATAATTTTT